TCAGAGGTGCTAGTTTCAAATCCTTTTTAGTCTGAAATCTGTATGCTAGATATTGAGTAAGGTGGTTTTATTGTTTTTTGTCACTTTGAATAATATTTCTGTTCATGTTAAAAACAAAATCAACTCTCTGTATAAATATATCAGGTGACTGTTAAGGCCCATGGGCCTCTTGTTTCTATATACAGTAACCTCCCCTTAACTTCCGCTGGGATATAACTGTAGCACAGTTATATAATTATGGCAGCTAGGAACATATGTACTAAGGCAAAATGTAAGGTCACATATTGGGTACCTTAAATTTCCTTTCTTTCAGTACGACTTACAAAGTTTAAGAAAATGTATAACTTGTAACAGCGTTAGTGTTTACATTTTTAGGTGTAGTGTGGTACATATAGTGATGTATTGACAAACTGAGGTGTATACAGATTAACTGGTACGATGGAGGTGATAATAGGGTCATTAAAATCTTATCAAGTAATCGTTAATCATAGTGTACACATATACAGGAATCAAATTACCTCCTGCAGGCTGAGGCATCGTCACCTGTGAAACAGGATCTATCGTTCTTTATAGGTTATAGTTTGCATCTATAATAAACCTGTGTGTCCTGAGAACAGGCTGATCATACATAATGGTTGTCACTTGATCACCATTATTTTGACATCATATATAACATGTGAAGGGTAGTTCTGCTAATGACCTTACAAGTACAATAAAACCTGCTTTTGAACATTAGTACCATCTGTTATAGTGGCAAAGTCCTATCCAATTTCAAAAGTTTCACAAGTTTTATATACATTCTTATCTTTCCTGTGTATTCAAAGTGACCGCACAATACATCCTGCAAACGTTGAAATATATAGAATACACAAGATATATTACTGAGGTGTATGTTTTTCTATTTGGATGAATCAGATTTATTTACTGGTAAATCTGAAAAATAAAGAGAAAATGCCTGTATTACATGTTATTTAATTTTACCTAAATGTCTAAATTCACTAGGATTGTCAGGATTTATCAACAAAATAGCACTCCAGCATTGGAATAGACTTTGCTATCTATGCTTAGTTTTGTTATTCTTAAAATGTTTCCTTTTATTGCAGGAAGATGGTTCAAGGTCTGTACGGCGGAGCAGGGGAGATAACCCTCTACGTGAGTCTGCATCGTCTCTTTCTGAGGAAGAGAGGGAGATGTTTGAAGCAGAAGGTACATACAGTTCTAACATCAAACCTCAATTCTATCTTGTTGAATTTAATTATTGTTACAAGGTACTTTATTCCAACACAGAATCACCTCACTTATTGAGTCACAATGAACTGATATGACATAAACTGGACTTGATTTGGCGATTTATAGAAATTTTATTCATGTACATCAGAAAATATTAAAATTAGAACTGGAAAAAGTCCAATTTGATCTCAATTACCTGTACCTGGAATTAACATGTGAGATTTATCTAAAATGAGATACCACTATGAAATTCTGTTGTAATTGAATCATTGAGTGATCACTAAAATTGGAATCCATAAAACAAATGGAATATACAGTAAGCTGTTTAAAGCTACTGATTATGTACCTGAGATGTTTATCTCACCTGATGATGTTCGTTACATAAACACGGACACTACTACGACAAACTGTGACCAGTAACGTATTACTAACATATGTACCTAGTGCTGATTGTGTGTAGCCCCTTTAGTATGTCATCTTTCTTGAGTGTATGTGGTGGTGAATTTGTGCTGCGTTTGTAGGTCAGCTGAACCTGACTATGTGTGAGTTAGAACAGACCCAAGACCTGACAGAAGAGGACTACCTACGCAATATCTGGAAGACTCTGGGGGTGGGGCAGCGAGGGTACATAACTCTGTCTGACCTGTCAGCGGTGTGTGATCATATCGGCATGGATGAAATGGATGACGATGTAAGAACTATGTCAACAATACGTGTTTCCTTTAATGTTTTATACTCGCAGTCCCAAACTCAGGATTATTTATTACAAATATATCTAACTATAGAAATATGTTGGAATATCCAGTTCAGCCTTGGAAGATCAAAATATGTGATTAATACCAGCCTCAGTTGTTAGTCAGATGTAATATTAAATAAGGTAACAGGTAATATTTGTTAATTATATTGAATTACATTTACAATTGTCTTTGGAGTGACACGAGGTCACCATGACAGGGTTTAATATCTGTATGTATTGTTATATATATAGGAACTACAGCAGCTATTTGACAAACTGGACTCGGATGCTGACGGGAAAGTAAGCTTTAATGAGTTTCTACATGGTCTGCAGCACAGTGCACCACCAGCATGTCCCGCCACCCCCCGTTCACTAGGCACCCCTACTCCTCGGACACACTCGGCTCAGAAGAAAATCAAAGTGATGGCATCAGCAAGTGCTGAGGAGAGGTTGACACCATCCATAGTATTGGGGAGCGGTGTGTCGGGAATCTTCACCACACTAGACCCTACTAACACAGGGTAGGTAGGATTAGCAGCAACACACACAGCAACTTAGATTATTTACATGTTTTGCAAAATCATAGTTTGTGTGTGTTTTAATCCTTTCATTTAGTTTCCAAACTACTTTTCTTTGAAATTATTATGGTAAACCAGCAGCGTAGGGGAAAATAGGAATTTGTACAACGTTCGCCGAATAAATATCTGTGATTCTGCTATATCTGCTACAACTGTTACAACTGTTAATGTTCTTATACCTCATCTATATAACAGTGTGTTTTATTGGATTATGTTGATCACATGGTGTCGAAATAAAACACTGTGCCGCCCTCATATGCTTTAACGTCCCCGGTCATTTAATTTCCCTTATTCGAAGCCTCTAGAAAAATGAGCAGGGGGCATTATAAGTTCCAATAGACTGAAGCAGACGACAATAATGGCACATCAACCTGATCATCTTTACTATTGTTTTATTTCAGTATAATGAAACATTAACTGCCCTCAAACACTCGGTCTTCACCATTGTGAGACATGATTAATTGAGGGGAAACAAAGAATCATGTTTCCCCACAACAAGGGCAGTAAATGCACATTATACTGCAAAAGCTCAAAAGTACACGATGTGTTAATATTTGCTGGATTATCAATCATGTTATGTTCTTAATGAAACCATTCTAGCATGGAATTAACTACTATGTAAAAACTATGGCTGTGGATTATAACCATGACATGATATTCAGAGAACAGTGTAGGAAGTTTTCTCACAAATATGTTTAGAATCTTATCTAAAGAATTGAAGCCCTTGCAGCTTATTTAAACCACTGTATAACCAACCTCTGATTACTTTAATTCATGATTTATGAAATTGTTCAGACAATCTTTTTCCGTTGTTGGTCTGTATGACTGCGTGAACTTGAATTACTTGTGTTGTATGCTATGACATGTGTACTGATAATTCTCAGTTTTGACTCCTTTTTGTGTCGCCTGCGAAAAGCTTGTGACGCATAGGTATTGCTATGTCTGTGTCGTCGGCGGCGTCGCCCGCACAGAGGTTTTCGTGCGATAACTTGAGTTTCCTTGGGCCGATCAAACTCAAACTTCATGCAGTGCTGCCTAACCAAAAGTGCTTGCTTGGGATTGCTTTTCAGGTCTGAAGGTCAAAGGTCAAGGTCACTGTTACTATAAATAGAAAGAAAAAAAATTGCGATAACTTGAGCTTCCTTGGGCCGATCAAACTCAAACTTCATGCAGGGCTTCCTTACCAAAAGTGCTTGCTTGGGATTGCTTTTCAGGTCTGAAGGTCAAAGGTCAAGGTCACTGTTACTATAAATAGAACATCTGTTTTCGTGTGATAACTTGAGTTTCCTTGGGCCGATCAAACTCAAACTTCATGCAGGGCTTCCTTACCAAAAGTGCTTGCTTGGGATTGCTTTTCAGGTCTGAAGGTCAAAGGTCAAGGTCACTGTTACTATAAATAGAACATCTGTTTTCGTGTGATAGCTTGAGTTTCCTTGGGCCGATCAAACTCAAACTTCATGCAGGGCTTCCTTACCAAAAGTGCTTGCTTGGGATTGCTTTTCAGGTCCGAAGGTCAAAGGTCAAGGTCACTGTTACTATAAATAGAAAGAAAAAAAATTGCGATAACTTGAGCTTCCTTGGGCCGATCAAACTCAAACTTCATGCAGTGCTGCCTAACCAAAAGTGCTTGCTTGGGATTGCTTTTCAGGTCTGAAGGTCAAAGGTCAAGGTCACTGTTACTATAAATAGAAAGAAAAAAAATTGCGACAACTTGAGTTTCCTTGGGCCGATCAAACTCAAACTTCATGCAGTGCTTCCTTACAAAAGGTGCTTGCTTGGGATTGCTTTTCAGGTCTGAAGGTCAAAGGTCAAGGTCACTGTTACTATAAATAGAAAGAAAAAAAATTGCGATAACTTGAGCTTCCTTGGGCCGATCAAACTCAAACTTCATGCAGTGCTAAGCACAATCTCCCAGCTTCCTGCGCAGGCGACACATCCACTTCCGTGGAATTCTTGTTTTTGTTCAAACCATAAATATACAGCAAAAGGTTTACATTGCATTTGAAGTGTATGAATAAGCGTGAAAGTTTATCAGTAAATGACAGCTTTGTATACAATTCTGAGTTTTAGAGTTTAATTTTGAAAAAAAAGCCATTATTACTCTATACTACTACTATATCATGCCACCGAAATAATATTGCCAATCTTAATAAGAGATAAGTTCTGGTTAGTGATCGTTGATAATTTGTTGTAACAAAAGTTGTGGCCTCCGATGTTTTACAGGTTTTCTATGCCAGACAACATCATTGACCTGTGGGAAAAATACAATGTCACGAACGGAGCAGACATTCTCCTGGTATGTACCCACTGATCTAGGCTCGCACAGAACTTTTTATTGTGTACGATCTGTAAAACAAATAAACCAATAAATTCCAAAAAATATTTGACGATTGCCAAAGTTTTAATAGATGATCAAATAAATACAACGGTCTGTTGATAATTATTTTTGAATGAAAATATCCACAGTGTTGGAGGGAATTCTTTGACATAGATATTTGTAATAAACCTAGCTGTGTAGGTCTTTCTAGATAATTTACATGCTAACATAAAGTAAACAGACAGCTGTCTATGTAATATTAAGTAGGCTCAAATATCCTTTGATATTTCAGGCACTAGGGTTTGACCTCAACACCAAGGTCAGTCTGTCGGAGCTGTCCTCGTACCTGGAGCAGGAACTCATTAACTGTGATGACCAGAACGCTGTCTACCAGGCAGCCCTCTCCTCCTACCAGCAGGAGATCAGACACCTCAAGTACAATTACACCTTCATTGTATTTCATACTTCTGTATTTTAAAAGTTCATGCGCACATCAAGACAGCTAAATTCAATCATTATATTTCTTTCTGGAATCAAGAGGTCATATAATGACTTTGCATTAAAATTTATAATCTTTTAGCAGCAAAGCATAAAAAGGACATACAACGTAGCTTATATTTAATCATTATATTTCTTACTAGAATAAGAGGCCATGTAATTACTTTGTCTTGAAATTTAAAATCTTTTGGAAGCAAGCTTAAACAGAGCATACACTGTAGCTAATATTTAATCATTATATTTCTTACTAGAATAAGAAGCCATATAATGACTTTGTCTTAAAAAATTTAATCTTATGGGAGCAAAGCTTAAAAAGAACCATGTTCTTATTTTTCTACGATTCATCTGCCTAAATAAAGTAATTTTGAGCAGATATAGAAACAAGTCAATCTATAGATGTCTTTTTGTTAATACAGGTCAACACTGGAACAATTTAACTGGGAGACAGAAAAGTTAAAACAAGACTTGTCAGAGGCCAACCTTAGAAACATAAAGTTAGCTAAGGAGGTGGATGAACGCCACGCTCACATGGAACAGAGCACAGAGAGAAAGCTTCTGTAAGTCTTCAGTCATTGTCTGCTCTTTGTAAATTGAAGGTAGCAAACTCGTTTTGTGTGTGATCCAGTTGTGTGATTTTCATGGTGTTTCAAATGAATTTTAGAAATGAAAATTTTCATCAATTTATGGTAAAATGTTTAAATGGTCTCTATTCTGATGATGTCACATAGAACATCAATACTCTGTATCATGATTAAGTGAAAACACCACAAATCACGTTTAAATCAAGGATGGAATAGATTTTTCTTATTAATAAAACAAACTTATTTATATCTGATCATTTCTTTTTAATATATGAAAACAGATAAGATTTCAGGACTCTACAATTTCTGGTAAATGACTGAATTGTTTATCTCGGCTATATAAGACCAGGAAGGATCTTAAGTTGATCTTAAATTTCATAAAATCTGAGAAAATTGATGTACAATATCAGAATTAATTAGTTAGAAAGATATTTATTTATTTAATAACCTGTACATATCAAGGTCATTTCACACATTCTTGTGTTAACCATTTGTTTAATTTTACATACAATCAATTTCATTTTCAAAATTCAATACAACAAGTATTTCTATTGTACTATATCAAATAGAAACTATTATAATGAAGGGAGGTAACTCCTCATGTCTTGCAGTAACCAAGAAAACACCTATTTCCCTTTAATGCATATCAGTAAGATACTTGTTGAGATTAAGAAAACGTACCTGTGAGTATACTAAACGTAGATCATATTTCAGCCGGGCTTTGTAGATGGGCTTTAATTTTTAGAGGTTAAGGAATATGTTTTCTTTGTCAATACAATGGCCTTGGTTTGTGGATTTTAATTGCATGCTTATGTCCTAAATGTAAATGGGTGTGTATTGTATAAAGAACTATGATAATTGATTATTTCAAATATCCATCATATCAAATGCTGTTTAATACCTGATCAAGCATGCCACAGTATTTGTCTTTCATTTTTTGAAAAAAATCCCAAGAATTCCCTTTTCAACAATTCATATACTTAATTAGAGCATGGTGAAACTTGTTCTGGTATATTCAATTTTTCCTGAAGGCTAAACTGTGATACTCGAAGAAGATTTATGAACCACTTTGACTGAGATTGTTTGCCATGTATCTACTGCCACCTATATAGAAAAATGTCAATTGACCAAGAGTCTCTTATCTTTAAAGGCCCAGGTGTCAATAGAGAATTATTACCTGTACATACCTGGGGATGATGTATTGGTCCCCTAAATAATGGGATTCTAATTGAAGTGAGTGTACAGTGTCTTACCTGACTGTACAGGTATACAAGTAAACATAAATTAGGCCACAGACGTAGATATTGACACAATAAATACAGGTTGGGTGATTATGAAGCTGCCCTATCCTGGTGTGGTGACAATCTCAGGTGAGAGTTCTTGCATGTTGTTTGAATTCATTTAAAAGGTATTCGGTAAACTTTCTGTGAACACAAGTGAATTTTAAACATCACTATTTTTTCATAGAGGAAAACCTGTCAACTATAAACATGTTTTTACTGAAAATTCTTGCTCTTATGAAGTCATTATTTAGATCAACTGACAAGGAATGTTCTCTTTAACATCAAATTTTAAAACCAATTTTGATGATAGTGAACTTATATTCTTAGGTGATCCCTTTGAGTTAAGATTTGTTTTGCTATGACAATCTCAAATTGTTTCTGTGCATAATCCTTTTGCATACAGTTTCTTCTGTAATTCATTATGAATCATATGATCTTTCTTAGTCTCCAAACTTGTGCTTCCTTCGTTACTCCTAGCTTTCCGTCTAGTCCAAGTCTGTTTACTATAAACTCCCACCTTGACCATTTCTTCACTTGTTATCCTGTACTCCCTACCCTTAAATACAAGACAGGTTATTTGATAAGAGTACCAGATCTGGGAGATAAGGGTTATAGATTTTATACCCTCACAATCTGCATGACTGTTTCTCTGGGTTTAACTACCTGGTAATATTGGTATAAGTATACATAATTATCATCAAATGCAATAGACTGTATTGTAACAAAGCATGTTCCACACAAGCAGGATGGAATGTCAACACAAGGGATTCCATAAATGTATAAACAATAGCGTGTTACATGTACTGATGGCTGGTCTAGCTGTAAGAACCACGATCATTTTCAGGAGGATTAATGTCCACAGTACTGTAAGATATGTTTACTATAAACACTTACTGCAAATTCTTGTCATATTATTGTATCCTGACAGAAACATCATTCTTTATCACAATAACGAAAGTATGCCTATAGTGATTTAGTTTTTTGATGTCCATTGGAGTTCTTTATAAATATATTTTATTGTAGAAACCTTAACTTTCTTGAGTCCCTTAGGGTCTATTTTACGGTAGAAAACTATTTTGTTATGCTTTGGTGTTTCTTCATGTGTTAATATGTTTAATTGAAGAAAAATAATTTGAAGACCCCTTTTGAATTTCTTATTAACATGTTCTTCTGCAGAGAACTAATGTTTTTGGTCCCCTGCGGTTTGTTATACATGTAACTCTGCTAAAAAGCACTTCGTTGCCTAGCATGGACATATATATTCATGTTGAAATTTTAACCCACTGAAATCCATTTAGGTTAAGCGTAAGTAGGAATATCATGACCCAGTCACTGTTAAGTAAATATATATTCAATGTTAATAAAGTGTGTGTACATATAAATTATCTACCCGGTGTCGTGCCTGCTCCCGTTGGAATACACTTGAATTGAGAAAATTCATACACATGGTTGTAATAGTGAAGATGTTGCTTGAACCTGGTTGTGTTACCTGAGATGTATTACCTGATGCTATTATGGTTGATTAATTGACAGGACGGTAGAGAAGAAGTACCACGATCAGGTGAAGATGTTACAGAGTGAACTAGAACACGAGAGGGAGCAATACAGCACACAGGCTGTTACACAGAAAACCGTCCTCGAGGGTGAAATGGAACAGCTACGACAGGAGGACAGGAAGCTCAGGGAAAGCTTGGCACAGGCTCAGAAGGTAGGGCTTTAGGCAAGCTTGGCAAGGCTCAGAAGGTAGAGCTTTAGACAAGCTTGACACAGGCTCAGAAGGAAGGGCTTCATACAAGCCTGGCACAGACTCAGAAGGTAGAGTTTTAGAAAGCTTTGCACAGGCTCAGAAGGTAGGGCTTGAGACAAACTTGACACATACAGACTCAGGATGTAGGGCTTTAGACAAGCTTGACACAGTCTCAGAATGTAGGGCTTTAGACAAACTTGGCACAGACTCGGAAGGTAGGACTTTAGACAAACTTGGCACAGGCTCAGAAGATAGTGGTTGAGGAAATCTTAGCACTGTCCTTTTAAGATACGGTTTAGACAGGGGTTTAGACAAACTTAGCACTTACTTGAAGTTAGGGGCTAAGGCAAGCTTATAGCACAGGCCCTAAATATAGGGCTAAGACAAGCTTGGCACAGACTCAGATTAGGATCTTAGAATTTAGTCAAAGATCTGTGCAAATTAAACATGTGCGCTTCCTTTTAGACTTAGAAATAGTGTAGCTTAGAATATACCACTACAAGTGTATATAAACAGGCTTTTTGGAAAGACAACATTTTTTAAGTTCTTAGAAAAGGTCAACTCACAGGTGATAAGGTAATGAATAAGGAAGCTTTATAAAAGCATTTATGTGGCATCTTGCTACATCTTAATTGGGTGATCTGGTGGGAGGTAGTGAATATTATACAATGCAATGACTGGGATTTTACAGGTCATACAATGACAGAATACTTATATATCAGAAAGGCTCCCAGCTGTTTTATATGCCCGTGTGATTAAGATAGACATCAAACTAATGTCAAGTGTAAGTAAAAGTTGGAGACTTGCATTGCTTGATGTACACTGAAGTAAATTTCAACACAACTTTTTCATTTTAGGAGATAGAGAGATTGGAGAGAGACCTGATCGATTCCGTAGAGAAACGCACAGATGTTCAAAAACAAAATTCTCGCCTTCAAAAGGAACTACAGTCAGTGAATGACCTTCAGAGAAAGGTAACCTTTCTATAAGTTATTAATGTGGAATGAAATGATGGCATGGTAACATCGCAGAACAACTTTTGTGTAAGCATCATTTATAGACATCATATTATATGACTTGTATAGCTTTGCAGGCAATTACATACCTCTTATGAATAAATGTAATTGAAGTGAGTACATAGATTTCTATTCTAAAAAACTGAGGTCAATTTTGATTTAGGAAATGCTTCAGGAAATGGTTTAAGTTCAAAATGTCTTGATTGTTATGTCAACTTGATCTTTTACAGTTGGATGAATTTGAGTCCATTGGCGTGCTTTCTCCAGAGGAAAAGAAAGTGACAGAAGAAAAAATAGAGAGGGTAAAAAGTGAGAATAAGGTAAGTAAACATTTCATGAAAGATACTAATGCGTGATATTGTCGTCATAGAAGAATAATTCTTGTTTAGGATATAAAGTTTTATTCAAGTGATCCAAATTCAGAAATGTGTGCTTAAAATGGTCTAAACAAGTCTTTGTTACAACATTGGAATCATGTGACTGCATTATTGAAGTTTTTATGATAAGTGTCAGATCAAGTCTGGAAAGTTAAATTTTTGAAAAAGTGGATGAAATTTTGTCTTGATTTCTAGGATTTAAAGGATCGCAATGATGAACTTACCGCAGAGTTAGAGATGATAAAGCAGCAATTCCCCACACTGAAGAAAAAGGAACGCAGTGTTGGTCCCTCTCCACGAGGGTTTGGATCCCGAATCCCAGTTAGAGAGGGATCACTACTCTCTGACTACATCAAGGCAGGTCGCAGGGGAATCAGGTCATCTTTGTCCTCAGGTAGGTCACACAAGGACGAAAGGTCATCTTTGTCCTCAGGTAGGTCACACAAGGAGAAAAGGTCATCTCTGTCCTCAGATAGGTCACATTGGGAGGAAAAGTCATCTCTGTCCTCAGGTAGGTCACACAAGGAGAAAAGGTCATCTCTGTCCTCAGGTAGGTCACACAAGGAGAAAAGGTCATCTCTGTCCTCAGGTAGGTCACACAACGAGAAAAGGTCATCTCTGTCCTCAGGTAGGTCACATAGGGAGGAAAGGTTATCTCTGTCTTCAGATCGATCTCTATCCTTAAGTTGGGCGAACAAGGAGGAAAGGTAATCTCTGTCCTCAGGCAGGTCACACAAGGAAGAAAGGTAATCTCTGTCCTCAGGTAGGTCACACAAGGAAGAAAGCTAGGTCATCTCTGTCCTCAGATAGGTCACACAAGGAGGAAAGGTCATCTCTGTCCTCGGGTCGATCTCTGTCCTCAGGTAGTTCACATAAGGAGGAAAGGTCATTTTTGTCCTCGGGTTGATCTCTGTCCTCAGGTAGGTCACATAAGGAGGAAAGGTCATCTCTGTCCTCGGGTTGATCTCTGTCCTCAGGTAGGTCAAATAGAAGGGAAACAGAGTACAGAAGGTGAAGGCTAGATCATATGTGTCCTCAAGTAGGTCAGATAGGTCAGGTCTGATCATCAACACATTTCTAGGTTACATGCATCTAAGGGATGGACAGAAAGGATGGGTAGGCTTAAGATAGATTTCTGTTATAGCTACTTACATTCTACTTGTTGCTCAAATCTAATGGTGTGTTCATTAAACTTAATTGATAATTTATGTATCAGCAATATTTTTCATTCTTTGTGGAAGAAATTTGTTTGAGGTCCAGTTTGAGATTATAGTTACAATATTCTGTTTATTTTATTTTGTAGAAACATCTGATGATGAGACCCAGTCCTCAGGGTCTACAGGACTCACCCCCAACTACACCAAACGGACACGCCGGAAACTTCCGCAGGCTCCTGATGACGAGGATGCGGGAAGTGAGTACAATTACCCAGAATGCAGCAGCCAAGCATAAATGTTTATCATAATCAACATTCTTTATAACAATATCTATCTGTAGGTTTCTTTTCATCTTCATAGGTTATACAAAATCAGGTGCATTAGAACTTGTCTGGTTTTCACGTAAAATTAAAAACCTAAGTTCGTCTTTCATTATGTCATATTTGAATTTGGAAACAAGGAAAAAAGTTATAGGAGCCATATTTATATTGAATATGGTAAACACATCAAATTTTGTTTTTGCTCAACACTCTGGTTTGTCACCTGAATTTGTTTGGTTTTTGGCTTTCATTAAGTTATATAATGTTATGATCATCAATAATTGGCAGCTCTTTCATATTAATTTTTTTTCGTACATATTTTTTGTTTTTGAAGCGTTGATTATATATATATCTGTGTCCTGTCATTGGTGTTATGTGACATACTGAACTAAATTACTGATAACCATGTCCATATCGCAGATTAAAAACACTAAAAATCTTTGTATAATTTGTGTATTTCTTGCTGATGTATGGTATTTTATTGAAAATATTAAATTAATAAGTAGCTTTTATGGATGTCCTCAATTAATTGAACACAAAGTTAAGATTTTTTTTGTATATATTTACATACTAAAACGAAAAGTAATTCCTTAATTAATAGAAATCTCCATCAAGCTTGTGTGTGTATATATTTGGGCTATAAGCATTTGCACATAAATGGTGTGACTGATAATGACGGCTATAACTCGGCTTTTCAACCTTTTTCACCCTCCTGATTTGTTTCATGTATCATTTGAACATTGCCTGCAGACTGGATCAAACGTAAGCTTGTGTTGTAACTAACATCAGTGTGCTGTGGTAATCATTATTGTAACCTTGTTGTCATCATACTGTAGAACCCAATATATACATAATTCATATATAATACAGTACATATCTATATATTGTATCTCTATCATTCAACTGCTGCATGGATTGAGATTCTTGTCATTTCAAAATGTTATGAAATTGTGATATCAAAATCTCGAATTATGGTGTTAAAATCTCAAAATTTCCTGGATTTTTATTTTTAAGTATTGGTTGATTTTCTGATTATGTTAAGTGGCATTTAATCAGATGCCAATAGATGTTAACATAGAAAATAGGACCCACTTCTAATGTAATAATTAATTAATGAGCTAAGAACAAAAAAGTTTAGATGAAGCAGTTTTATGGCTAAAATATTTTCACCATATTATGGTAACAATAAGTTCTATACCTGATTTTTTTAATCAGGTTTTGGTGGTCATCAGGAAAGGGTCAAAGGTCACAGTGAACCAAATTTAAACAGCTTGTGTACAACATATTTCATGAACTCCTAAAAAACATTTGTTGATATTTACACCACTATGCTACTGTATGGTGGATTTTGGTGGATCATGAGTAAAGTTTAGAGGGTCAAAGGTCACTGCATGTTGACCACTTTTGATTTTTATACACACAAGTACGTGAGCCCCTTCTTAAAAACAGTATCAGTAATTACTTCTGAATACAAACAAATCTAATTAACAGATTGATAGCAGAGAATATCAAATTTTTGTATCAAAGTTTAGACTTATATAAACTACCAAAGTACATGTATAGGTATGTACATGTGTAAATGTATACATGTGTAAGTGTATACATGTGTAGGTTTATACATGTGTAGGTGTATACATGTATAGGTGTATACATGTATAGGTGTATATACATGTGTAAGTATATACATGTGTAAGTTTATACATGTGTAAGTGCATACATGTATAGGTGTATACATGTGTAGGTATATACATGTGTAAGTGCATACATATGTAGGTGTATACATGGGTAAGTGTATACATGTGTAAGTGTATACATGGGTAAGTATATACATGTATAGGTGTATACATGTATAGGTGTATATACATGTGTAAGTGTATACATGTGTAAGTATATGCATGTGTAAGTGCATACATGTATAGGTGTATACATTTGTAGGTATATACATGTGTAAGTGCATACATATGTAGGTGTATACATGTGTAAGTGTATACATGTGTAAGTGTATACATGTGTATGTGTATACAAGTGTATGTGTATACAAGTGTATGTGTATAGATGTGTAGGTGTATACATGTGTAGGTGTATACATGTGTAAGTGTATACATGTGTAAGTGTATACATGTGTAAGTGTATACATGTATAGGTGTATACATGTGTAGGTGTATACATGTGTAAGTGTATACATGTGTAGGTGTACATACATGTGTAAGTGTATACATGTAAAGGTGTATACATGTGTAAGTGCATACATGTATAGGTGTATACATGTGTAGGTATATACATGTATACATGTATACATGTATAAGTGTATACATGTATAGGTGTATACATGTGTAAATATATACATGATTAAGTATATATTTGTAAGTGTATACATGTATAGGTGTATACATGTATAGGTATATACATGTGTAAGTGTATACATGTATAGGTATATACATGTGTATGTGTATACATGTATAGGTGTATACATGTATAGGTGTATACATGTGTAGGTGTATATACATGTGTAAGTGGATGTCACTGATAACTTTATTTATAGGTACTGTAGTGGATTGACAATTATACTGTGATACTGACTGCAGGAGAATTTTCTTTACAGACACATATTTTGTAAGAGTTTTCTTCAAGTAAAACATCCATCTTTAAAAAAAATCTTGCAAATGCATATTATTTTCAGATTGGGAAACACGTAAGATTTTCATGATGTTATTTAAACCTCACACAAATGCTGTTTTTGTTGGCAACACATTAATGAATTTGTATATCCCCTGATATTTACCTGTATTGAAACACGTACTATACATTGAGTTGTGAAATGCACCCTTTGTATGCCTCATTTATTCAATAACAAACCCCATTTGTAAGTACTTACACTCTGCCTCTAAAAAATACAACTGAACGACACCAGATACATTTTGTGTATATGTAACTTTTTATGAAATGGTTCTATACAAGTGATCTTGACTCTTAAGTCAAATTTTCATGTGCATGTTTTTTGGTTTATTCTTATAAAAGAATACCTGTTTCTTTTCAAAAATCACTTTTATTCATCTTAGCTGTGAGTGTTGAGCTGACTTTCACATTTCTTGAAATTCTGCAAAACATTTGCTATTTGTGATTAAATAATTGCTATTAACGTGGATCTGAATTCTTGGAAAACTTGTTCCAAAGATATATTTTATTCTTTTAATTTTTAATGTGAAACTATCCGTTGTGAGAGAATGTAACATGTAAAGGCCTAAACAGAACATTTCATACATAGAACGTTACAGTTTCAAATATACGTACACATACATTTACTAGTAAGTGTACATGTTGTGTATATGTCGTAGTGACAATAAAATCATTGACATGATCTTTACGTTGTTGACATGTATTCTTAAATATTATTCAACGCTATGTGTATCGGTCAGGCAATTTCATGTACAACATGAATTTTTGGGTGAAGAGGAGAGTCCATACAATAATAAATATAAATATTCCTCGAAAAGGATTAATGTTATAGTGATGTATTGATATGTTGTGGAATATATAAAGTCCACAAATGACACATTGTATGTACGGAACATGAAACCAGTGAACCCGAGCTAGGGTACTTAAAGCTAATTATGTACATAAAAATAATTTCCTTGTACTAGCTCTTATCACTTGCTTGTGATACATTGTAATAGCTTATGGTCTGTCACGTTTTACTGATCTTTCTATTTTGCCTGATATATAGCTGTATACAGTATATTACGTGTGTAACCTGTTAGCTTATGGTCTGACACGTTTTACTGATCTTTCTATTTTGCCTGATATATAGCTGTATACAGTATATTACGTGTGTAACCTGTTAGCTTATATATATAATTATGGTCTGTCACGTTTTACTGATCTTTCTATTTTGCCTGATATATAGCTGTATACAGTACATTACGTGTGTAACCTGTTAGCTTATATATATAATTATGGTCTGTCACGTTTTTCTGATCTTTCTATTTTGCCTGATATATAGCTGTGTACAGTATATTACGTGTGTAACCTGTTAGCTTATATATATAATTATGGTCTGTCACGTTTTACTGATCTTTCTATTTTGCCTGGGATATAGCTGTATACAGTATATTACGTGTGTAACTTGTTAGCTTATGGTCTGTCACGTTTTACTGATCTTTCTATTTTGCCTGGTATATAGCTGTATACAGTATATTACGTGTGTAACCTGTTGACCTCCCAACGTGTCCATGATAAGTGGTATACTTACCTCGGGTGTAATGAGTTATCATGTCCTGTCAATATTGACTGGATGTCCATCTATTGTAATTTGCTGGTAAAGGTCCCATAACCTATGATAAAGTCACTTGGCTAAGAATGGTCAAACACTCTTAGTGTTATAAACAGGTTTCTAAAGTTTTTATTTAGAAAGATCACAAATACTTGACTTCTGAGCATAATAAGTTGCCTATTCATACACATATATTGACTTCTGGGTATCCTCTTTCCTATAAATACACATTATAAGTAACGAATGTATAGGTAAAAACAACTTTTTTTAAAATATTTTGTACTTCGTTTTGTAAAGATTTTCCCTTCCTATTGTGATATAATACTTTTACTAATTAGTGGATAAAGCCTATTTGATTAATCTAAAAGTATAACATCTTATAACATTTTCTGGATTACCTCATAAACAGGTATAACTTGAATGTATACTCTGGATTACCTCATAAACAGGAACACTTCTTTTCAAATACTTCAAACACATATATTTAAAGATTTAGACCTTCACAAAGTAAGTAAAGTGGTTCAGGATTCTGGACTGGAGTGATATTTATAAAATACTACAGAATTACTACAGTTATGAAGCCTTAGATGGCTAGATTTGTTACCTGTGACATATAATAACCCTGCCTTATTCTCTGTACAGGTGTCAGCAGCATACAGAATGACAGGGAACAGATTGAGAACCTTAAAAAGGAGCTGATTGACCTTAAAAACCACATGGAAAAGGAGCACAAGGAGATTGAGCACACCTACAGAGAGAAACTCTCTAAGATGGAGGAGAGTCATGACAACCAGAAAGTTGAACTATTAAAGAAATTTGAACAAGAAAAGGTTTGTGTGCAAGGTTAAACTTCATTTAACGTCAAGTTTACAAGATTTACTACATATGATCTGTTTCATTCTTGGATGAGAACTAGTCTAAAATAAAGGCAAACTTTGTGACAGGAATGTATCAATAACATGTCTGTCATAAGGACCTCTACAAAAGGATAAGAGATCTGCATTAAATTAAAAACAAATAACAGTTGTCCTATTTGGCAAATATTTTCATGTATTTGCAAAATTAATTTACTTCATATAACAGATAAACTACTTAGATAAATCAATTCAAATCAAATTAGAAATTACCAAGTGCCCTGAATCTGTCAAGTTTATCTTCCATGTGTTTGTTGACAGAGTGATATTTATGAGGAGTGTGAACACATAAAACAAACAGAATTGGCCGCTCGGCAACAGCAGCTCCAGAACTTCTTTGCTAAAGAAAAACAGGACATGATGGACAAACACGAGTACGAGAAGAGTTCACTAAATCAGCGATTTGTTGAGGAGAAGGATGCTATGATTAAGAGGTGAGATATTGTAGAAAATGTTGATGTTGTATGTTTACCTTTAGATCTGAAAGTGACATATGAAATCTGTAAATATGTATATCTGCCATTGTCTATGATGAATAACCTCCCAAATGAAGTATATTCAAAGTCTTTCTCCATTAAGATACATTCTGTTGTCTTTATAGTAAAAGAAACACTTAATATCTATTGTATATAATCATACTATAGGTCGTCATACAAATCCAAGGATCTAACTTGCGTGATCAAAGGCTCGCGGGCACCAGTTACAGCATCCTGCTGTCCTTATATAAAATAAAACAAGTGTTTTTGTTGATAACTCACAAAAATTAATAATAAAATATAATAAAAGGGATGTCTTAATGCTCATTTGAGAATACTTAAGAAACAGTTTTTATCAGTATTATTTTAAAGATCACCCCCAAAAATTCTTTTTGTCAGAAACCAAAAATGAAAACATGTCACATGTATGAACATTACAGTGTCATATGAATTGTGCAGGTTATCATTAGATTTTTTCAAAGGAAATTATCACTCGTGTCAGCTTGGCATGCATACGGGCAAAAAGTTGTAACAATCTGGCTGTTCAAAGTCAAAATTTGCTGTAGATATATCTATTACAAAAAATTATGATAAAAGGATGTTTTTGCAAACTATATGAATATTTATATTGCATGGTCTCAAGCACAAATTGAACTTCATGTACTTATCCCCAGTATATATATTTAAAACAATATACCATTTCCTAATTAACAAGTTTTCTGGATAACTGTTCAGAAGTTGTTACTGGAAGGTAATATGAACATAAAATAAGGTTCTTAAATGGTATCCATTCATGTTAATACCCATCATGTTTGGATTTACATAGTTTTACTATATATTTGACAACATTGTGCTTCCTTCCTCCAGTCTACAAGTAGAGTATGCCCAGGACCTGGAGGTACAAGTGACAGCAGTACAAGAGGACTACGCCCGTGACAAGGCAGAACTTGAGGCCTACATAACAAACCCCAATGAGTCACAGCTTCAGCAGCTGGAACAGGAGAAGGCTGAGCTCGAAGAGAAGCTGTTTGAGCACCAGGAAGAGATGGAACACCGCATTGAGGAGGCAAGGACGAGGCTCAGGGAGGAATTAGAAGCTACCAAGGAGGAGGAAATATTAAAACTTAAGTCTCAATTTGAAAATGAGAGTGCAAAAATGAGAACAGACATAAATGTGAATAGTCAAAATGATATACATAGGTTAGAGGTTAAATTTGAGGAAGAGAAAACCAAGTTAAGAGTGGATTTTGAATCTGCAAGAGAGGAAGACAAGAGTGAGTTTGATCTTAACATCTTGCAGCAAAGAGAGGAGCTAGAAGCAAGATATAATAAAGAAAGGGAAAACTTGGAGGAAAAGTATGAGGACCAGCTACGGAGGCTGAACGATGAACTACAGGCAAAGATAAAGGAATACGAAAACAGTCTCTCCGAGGTCAGTGTAACTTGGAATGGCGTCTCAAGGTCAATCAAGGTTATGTCAAATCAAGGGTTAGGGTCTTACAGTCAATGAGGGTATCTCAAGGTAAATGGTCAGCCTCAAAGTCACTGATTGCTACCTGAAGGTCAAGGGCCAAGAGTCTGAAATTATTTTGGATGTCTCAAGGACAAAATATCATAGTCAACCATGAGTTCCCAGATAAGGTCAGCTTTTATTATTAATTGCCTGTGAGTATTTTAGGAGTGTTTTAGAGAAATAAAACATGCATTTCCTGATAGAAATATGAACAAAAAAATCATGTTTAACATGTACATTTTATGACACTAATAGAAACATCATTTTTGTTCTTGTGTAGGGAGTGGATGCCCTGAAAGGAAAGACAAAGGAGGACTTCTTCAACATTCTGTCTAGTGAGAAGGACTTGATTGCTGTGAGACAGAAGGAGGAGGTGTCTCGGGGTATAGAGAAGGAGAAAGTGGAGCTGGAAGGGCAGTATACCAGTCGCATACAGGAGCTAGGTAATGTCAACCTTACTCCAGTCATTTCATATCAAGCGTTTAGTTTAACTAGATAGTGAAATTGAATTTAATCATTTAAAATTGGATTGTAACAACTGATGTGATTAATCATCATACAAGGTTCCTGTGCTTGAGAGAAAAGGGTGTAGAAAAAATGCCTAATGATGCTGCACTATACATCTGCATGGATAGCCGACAGTAAACAGATTTGGTCAACAAATTTGGTCATTACCAAAAATTTTATTGCTTTCATTCACCCTTGAGATTGTAAAGTCATCCTTTTAGGATTGAGGTGTGAAGAGGAAAAGTGGTGAAGGTTTGAAGCTGGTGATAAGAAATCAGATTTAGTTTGCCATATATAACTGTTTGCCATATATAACTGTCAAAACACTTTGGCTAACTTACAGAGCAAGCCTTTGCCCAGGAGAAGGAGGAGCTGCGAGACAGGTATGAAGGTCAGATTGTGGGACTCCGGAGTCAGCTTGAACGTCTCACTGTGAGGTTAGATGAGGAGAGGGAAGCCATGGAGGAGCGGTTTGAGGAGGAGAGGGAAACGCTCGAGGAGGAGCTGGCTCGTACTATTAAGGAGGAACTAGAGGTGGGTTAAGTCATAACTCAGATTGTTTGAAGATCTCACTCACGACATTGACAGAAGACCTAGAGTAAATGGTCATAATTTCACTGGTTTTTAACTCTCATAGGTCATATCAGGAGAAATTATTAGAGTTAATGTTATTATAAAATCCTGCATTATTTTTGTTTGAGGAGGAGGGTGTTAATATTACATGAAAATGTTGTAAGCTCCGGCTAGTTCCTATTTTCATAGGTTTTCATATGAATAGACAGATATCCAGAGAGATCTAGAGGTGTGTCTAACGTGTATTGGGGGATGGAGGATGGTAATCTATTCAGTCTCAAAGGGTCGAGTTATATTTGGTATAATCTATGAATAAAAATTATAATTGGTCCTATCTTTTCAGAGAGTTTGATTTCAGATCTGAGTCCATGTATCTTTCAAAGACTTGTATTAATATTCTGCTAAGAAGAGTAACAAAAACAAACTAATGTGTACAGTCAAATTTTTGTAAATATGAATTGTGAGTTCTAACATTATTTTTGGAAACAAAACAGAAACACAAAGTGCGACAGAGTACCAGGTTTGAGGTAAATTGTGTCTTGTTATATAACGTGGCCCCTATTGTATACCCACACAAAATCTAACCTAGACACACACAATGTGATATCAATGGTACTGATGTATCAAACACACAAACACACTTCACGGTTTGGATTGTTCGTGAACACAATGCACTTTCAGGAATACTCTATTGTATTTGACGGGGCAAATATATAAATATTTCATTATTCTCATCTTGAATTTATTTGATAAACTGTTTAAAAAAAAAACGTAATTGTGAAGAAATGTGATTAATTTTGTAATTAATTTTGTAATTATTTCTCTGATAATCAAGATATCGGTGGTAGGCATTGGCAAGAAATTCTTCGTGCGGACGGCACGAGTGAACCAGTCAAAGGTAGAGAGACCTGTGCTGTTGTACCAGGGCTTTTGTTTCTGCTTTTGATAGCTGGTATCAACACCACATATTAGGTGTGGCATTGAATGCGGTTCTTTTGCTGCGAGCGAAGTAATAATACTGTTGTGTTGTAACATACAAATGAAACATTGGATAAGTTGGTTAGTAGCTAGGACTTTTTCATGCCAAGGGGTGTAGGATAGGGAAATCCAGAGGGTGGAATTTCCCTATCCTACACCCCTGGACATAAAAGAGTATTTTTCTCTCATTCCAACTACCAGAATATAAGTTCAGAAACCATGAAAATGGCTTGGACTGGCTACGTTTTTGAAAATATCAACTTTTCCCCTGAAACGTTTTGACGAAAACGAAGCTGACAGCTGGATTTAGCATACCCCATATTTGCAGAGAAAACTAATCTCATATGTTTAACCTGAACTGTCAATATATTGTAAAAGTGGTTTTTTTATCATGTCGCCTTTTCTGCATTGCGGGTATCAGACTTTTCCAATTTTGAGACGTCAGGCCATTGTTAGCAATTGTGATGTCACATCACATGAAACCGGGTGTAAGACAGAAATTTCTTACACCCTGTTCTTACCCTGGACAGCTCTATCTCACACATACAGAAATGAGAGAGAGAGAAATATAATATATATACAATGTATATATATAAAAACTGAAATTTCTGGATGATAGATTAACTTAACCAACTCCATGATTAATAATAACCCATGTTGAAATAATGCAATATGTTGCAGAAAGTTTGAAGTATTTGTGTGAAAAGTGTGCAGTAATTCATGTTGTAATAACGACAGTCAATGTTTTGTGTCTAACAGCTATTGTCAACATTGAGGAATTTGAGGCTTGATTTGAATGTGAAATTGATGTTATCACTTCATTTATTTATACATACAGTGCCATGACAAAGCTCACCCGTGCAGGTTAGGGGGACAGAATAGGCCTGCTGTAACCCACTGCATGATAGTAGGGCAACTAATGTGTGTGTGTGTGTGTGGGGGGGTCAGGGGTTTTCTTCAATATCTTCTACTAAGCGAACAATTGAAGAGACCAAAACTGATCTGCTGCCCCATTGCAACGCTTAAGTTTTTCTTCATTTCCTGTCTTTCCTGTCTTCTTTCTTTTCCGTCTGCTTTCTGTTTCTTGCAGTGTCTCCCTTGGCACCTGTCCTCATATGACCTTGGCTGTTTTGTCTCCCTTGGCACCTGTCCTCATATGACCCAGCTGGCTGTTGTGTCTCCCTAGGCACCCGTCCTCATATGACCCAGCTGGCTGTTGTGTCTCCCTTGGCACCTGTCCTGCTATGACCCTGGCTGTTGTGTCTCTCTTGGCACCTGTCCTTATATGACCCTGGCTGTTGTGTCTCCCTTGGCACATGTCCTCATATGACCCTGATTGTTGTGTCTCCCTAGGTTCCTGTCCTCATATGGCCCTGGCTGTTGTCTCTCCCTTGGCACCTGTCCTTATTTGACCCTGGCTGTTGTGTTTCCCTTGACACCTGTCCTTATATGCCCCTGGCTGTTGCTCCCTTGGCACCTGTCCTCATATGACCCAGCTGGCTTTTGTGTCTCCCTAGGCACCCTTCCTCATATGACCCAGCTGGCTGTTGTGTCTCCCTTGGCACCTGTCCTGATATGACCCTGGCTGTTGTCTCCCTGGCACCTGTCCTCATATGACCCTGGCTGTTGTCAGAACTCTAAACCCCAAACAAAAAAACAAATATGGAATGTAACCGTTGTTCAAAAAAAGGAAAAGATGACCAACGTCATGCCGAGTATAACGGCTTTAATCCATTGTTTAACTCGGACCAGTGCTGAATGTAACCATTATAAATAAATAGATTTTGTCTGATTACTTTAGTAAATAGGGATGGCTTTGAATGTTGTAGACAAGAGCATTTTTATCTGCATAATCACTTTCGTTACTCAGGCTTCCCGCGAATGTTACCATTGCAAACAGGTACATTTTTGTTTGTTCATAGGATGAATTTACCCAGCAAGTAGAGCAGCTCAAGGCATCATTTGAGAGTGAGAAGGTGGAGCTTCACCGTCAGATTGACATGTACCAGGAGGAGACTGAAGAACTACAGAAAGATTTGGAGCAGAGGGAAACATCTGTTGGAAAGGAAGAGGAACTGCGACTCACCATTTCCACATTAAAAAGAGAAAAACAGCTGGTACAGACCTTATACTGTCAGAGGAAATATAATTTCAATGACCATTTGATCTGGTCACATCCAGTTCAGTTCTATTACACCAATTTATTAAGATTTTATTGGTGCATGCTTATTCGTCAGATGGATAAACTACAGGATGTTTACATTTCGAGATTAGTTGAAGATGTATTGGTAACTTTTAAAATGCAATAGAATTACAAGTTCTATCATAAATGCACACAAAACATGAAGTTAGGAGAAATTCAACATTAACACAACAAGTTAATCAAATATGTTCTTGAAATCCATCTGTATGTTTCATTGAAAACCTAACGGGTGAGCTATTTAAGCCCCCTGGTCTCTTGTTTTATTTAGTTTTGGCCATTTGTTTTAGACTCTCTTAATTAGACATTTAGAAGGACTTCTAAAGTATATACCAAACATTTTTTTTTATGAAACAGCCAGGAGCTGGTATTGCTGGTGACGGCTCAGTACCTCACTTCCGGTCCAGGCTTGATGCTGCTATATGACTAGTGTTAGGTTAAGGCAAACATTAGGCCTAAGAGTCGTCTTACAAAAATTAGAGTTATACATTTATACATATAGGATAGATAACTCCTTCTCTCTTCTGTCTCCCTTTTCCATTCCTTCACTCCATACTTTATCCTTCTACTCATTTTTCTGTCTGGAGATAAAACCAATCAATCAATCAGTGTTTTATTTATATTTCATCTGGCCAATTTTGCAGGTTACATATGTGAATGTAATTGCTTGCAGGTTCAAATAACAACAGATTGATACAGTCCGATTTGGATCCTTTTTGTGTTTTAAATAAAGCTAAAAAACATTTCGGGGTCTGCTTTGTGTGTTAAGTAAAGCTTAATCTTGTTTTGTTGGAGTCTGCTTTGTGTGTTGAAGCTAACATTTTATAAGAGAGCGTTTTGCAGGAATAGTGTTCTGCCATTCCTTTTATCATTTTTTAATAAAAAACAAAAAACTCAACAACAAGCAACTGTATTAAGATGAATTTAGTCAGATTTTGGAAATTACAATGTATTGGAACTTAATATAAAATTACAAAATGTAAAAAAAAGAATTAATAATAATAATTTCAATGAAATATTGATAAAAAATGTATTGCAGTAACAGTTTTAAACTTAAAGGTTTCATTGTAAATCAATTAGTGACTTATATGAAGAGTGTAAATATTTGGAGGGTGTTTTAGTGCCCGTTAGTCACCAGCTTTACTTCTTTCCCCGAAACTGAATTATCTCTTGTTTAGTAAAATTTAAACTGACTTTTTACCGACAACCTTTTGATTAAACTAGAAAAACAGTATCCATAACCTTTTTTTAGATGGAAGATCAAAGTAAATCTGATTTTTAAAAAGCATGTCTAACCAATTGCTCCTTCTCCTGGGCATTTCAGGCAGAGAAAGCCCAGGAAGAGGCCCAGCGGAATCTGGAGGAGAATAAGTCCAGTTTGGAGTCACGGATAGAAAGCCTTCTAACGGAGCGGGAGGAGGTCATTACAGCAGTGAAGGCATCAGAAGTCCACCTGGCTAAGGAATCTGTAGACAAGGTCAGACAACTCTCAATCGTGTTGGCAAATAAATGTTACTAAATCTTACAAATTATTTCCTTAAAAATAAGCTAATTACACATTTGGGAAATCAGATAACTGAATATATGCCATATTTTAAGTAATGGTATTCTGTCTAGTTAACATCCACATCTGTTAATTTGTTAAATTCAATTATTTTAAGCATGATTAAATGTACTTTTAAAGGCAAAAACATTTGTTGAACATAAGAAAACTTATATTTTGTGTTCAAATGAAACAATTTTGTAAAATGGTCTCATAAAAGGAAATTCATATCATGTATCAAAATACATCTGCAGCACTCAGTGGTGGTCAAAGAAAAGGTAGCCTTGGAGAAGGAGGTATCCAAGCTTAGGAGGCATGCCCTGGAGCTACAGGTGGACAACCAGAGGCTCAGTGCCCTTCAGGAGGTAAGTCATAGACCCTAGAGGAGAGCTAAATCAGTGACCCAATGCCCTACCGAGGTAATTAAGTCATAGGCCCTAGAGGATAGGTAAACCAGTGACTCAATGCCCTACCGAGGTAATTAAGTCATAGGNGATAGGTGAACCAGTGACTCAATGCCCTACCTAGGTAATTAAGTCATAGGCCCTAGAGGATAGGTGAACCAATGTCTCATTGCCCTACCAGGGTAATTAAGTCATAGGCCCTAGAGGATAGGTGTACAAGTGACTCATTGCCCTACCGAGGTAATTAAGTCATAGGCCCTAGAGGATAGGTGAATAAGTGACTCAATGCCCTGCCTAGGTAATTAAGTCATAGACCCTAGAGGATAGGTGAACCAGTGACTCAATGCCCTGCCTAGGTAGTTAAGTCATAGACCCTACAGAAGAGGTGAACCACTTACTCCATGCCATATCGAGGTTAATCAGACCCTAAATGAGAGGTGAACGACTTACTCTCTGCCCTACCGAAGTTAATCATAGACCCTACAGGAGAGGTGAACCACTTACTTCCTGCCCTACTGAGGTTAATCATTGACCCTACCGGAGAGGTGAACCAGTGACTCTATGCCTACTGAGGTTAATCATTCACCCTACAGGAGATGTGAACCAGTGACTCTATGCCCTACTGAGGTTATTCATTGACCCTACAGGAGATGTGAACCAGTGACTCTATGCCCTACTGAGGAAGATATAGGCCACAGAGGGACGGGTGGTCAACCACTGATTCATTGGTTAGCCTATAGCTATTGCTGTCCATTTAACAAACTTGGGAATATCCTAATTTCTACATATGGAATAAAATAATGATCAAACTTATCTTCTTGTTCTTCAGCTTTTTCTATTATGTGGGTCCAGTATCAGCTAACCACAAGTCTAGAATGTTACCTGCTAATATCCAAGATTTTTATTATTGTTGTCTTTTTATGCGTGTATTTGTAAAACTCTTCTTGTTACTTATTTAGAATGTACACAAAATCCATAAAGGGAGATAACTCTGCTATAACTGTCGTATGTTGTAGACTGCATACAATGACTGGGATCAAGAGAAGACCGAGTATGTGCAGAGAATTCAGGAGTTGGAGGCACAACTAAAAGACCACGCTACAGAATTGATACCCCCTCACGCACAGGTAGTCATCAGCTTCCTCCTGTTTAGGTGGAGTGTTACTCACTGTTGCACATTTATATGCACTGTTAAAGTTTATAATATCTCTGGTTAATACTTAGACAACAATGATTCTAATTTATTCATTTGTTTCCAAATATGGTACTATATTATAAATGCAACTTATTCCTGAAATTACTGTTCAAACGTCATTTAGATTTATAATTTTGAAAATAAGATATGGTTTATTCTGAGATTTTTAACTTCAAAAGAGTTTGAGAAGTTATGTGTTTTTCTCATTAAGTATTTTTTATTGAAAAAGAAATGTTGTTATGCAAATTGTTAATTTATAAAATTTAAATGAATCATTGTGATATGCATGAAAGAATGTGTGTTTCACTGTGATGATCACCCTTATCCCACACGAACCTGCATCACCTCCACTCTCACTCACCATTCCATCCCTTGACCTCCACCCATCGGCCTCACCAACATTTTGATCTCCATCCTTCATTCTAACCTATATCTCATAGAGTCCAGACCTCCACCTTGACCCTTCAAATCCATCCCGACCCCGACCTCACCCTAACATCCACCCTTCATCCTTGAGTCCACCAACTTCCACCCATAACCCTAACCTTACCCTCACCTCCAGCACAGCATCCACCTACCACCCTGACCTCCACCCTGACCCTTCAAATCTATCCTTACCTCAACCCTTCCCTGACATACAACTTTCATCCTTGAATCCACCAACTTCAATTTTTTACCTCATATCCAATCTGACCTCCACCCATGGCCCTGATCCCCATTCCCAACTCCACCCTTCACCCTCACCTCGATCCCCTGCTCGACCCTTTGTCCTTACCTCCATCCCAAATCCTCCCTTCACCCTCGCCTCCCTTCCCCTGCTCCTCCCTTCACCTTCACATCCATCCCCTGCTCCACCCTTCACCCTCACCTCCATCCCCTGCTCCACCCTTCACCCTCACCTCCATCCCTTGCTCCTCCCTTCACCTCGCCTCCGTCCCCCTGCTCCTCCCTTCACCTCACCTCCATCCCCCTGCTCCTCCCTTCACCTCACCTCCACAGCGACATCCACCTACCATCTTGACCTCGATCCCGTATTGTCATATCCTCCCATCACCCCAAGCTTCAGCCCTACTCACACCACCAGTATTGATGTGTTATGTAATTTCACCGTTTTTTCCTTATTCCCTGCACTTTACATAGAATGTGATTGACAGTCTACGGAGGGAACGTGATGACCTTGACCATACACTGGCCTCGGCCAAACAAAAATTTCAGGACGTTGATGATAGGGTCAAAAAGATGACTGAGCAACAGGTATAATTAACAAACTTAAATGTAAAAGTGCTTTCATCTGGAAATGCTGATTTATAGTGGTACATTTGTAATCTGATTATCATAAGAAGTTGTTAGACTTTCATAAGTCATTTATCCCCCACTCCACAAGTTGGCTGGTGATATAGAAAAGGGGCCCATGCGTGTGTCCATCCATAAACCTGGTTAAGAAGAATTGCTCTGATCTGTATCTTGCCTACTACAAGTGCTATGTTGATTATACTTGCATCAATTGTGTATCTAGAGTTGCTTTACTGAATGCATATTGAGGATGCTGATTTTGACCTATATTTTACACTTCATTTTTTAATGACTTTTCACTGCAAGCAGGGGATATTAATGACAGTGTGTTCTTGCTAAGCTGTAAAAGAAACTTCAAAACATCAATATCAAAAGGCTGAGTTTGTTCTCTGCATGTAAACTACATAATCATTAAACTGCAACTTGTAGGAAGATTTTTTATTAGAATATGATTTTTTTTTTATCACTGAACAAGTCTGTACAATGTAATAACAGTTAACCTACCGGTACATCTGCATGTTAACTGTTAAAGCATGGAGAGTGATATTGTATCACAGGGATTTTACTGATTCCTGCTATGTGAAGACTGATTTTATACAACAGATCTTATGCATATTTGAACTTTTCAATTCTGTTGCTTACAGATGGCATTTAACTCGGCTAATAGCAGCATGAGCTCAGAGAACAAGAACTTGCAGGTCAAGGTGGAGTTACTTAACAACGATCTAGGGGAGACAAACAGCAGCCTGGAACGAGAAAAGGTAGGCACAGTGTAGCAGGGAAAAACAGGGAAAAATGTAGACGTCGCAGGTTTACATGACCAGCTGTTTAAAACTCAACAGAATATTTATGAAAAAAGGAAACATATTTTCCAAGTTGAAATAAGATTTCATTGTTAATTTTACATAGAATAAAACGTTTGTTGTGAATAACAATAAGATGTTATATATTTCAGGAGAAAATGATGGCACTTCAGTTAGAAAAAGAAAGACTAGAAAATGAGTTAACAAAGGTCTCCTATCAGGTGAGTGGTGTCATTATATACAGACAGGTGTTCTTTATTAGGGTCTTACATTAGAGATACAAGTACCCTATAATAATCGTAGTTTCTGACTGTCTGACTGTCTGGGTGGATGGTGTGGCTTCTGCTTTCAGACATATAACATGGCCCTTGCTGAAATGTCATTTTTCTTGTTACCTTTTGAAACTAAGTTGACTATCAAAGAGTTTGTTTTTCTGTTACACATACCTATATTCCTGTGTGTTGGCTAGTGATCATGGTTATGGTGAAAAAGAACTAAATGGCAACCATTGTCTTTTCTATAATTCATTATGGTGAAACAATATCTGATTGATTACTGACCCAAAACATATCTCTAAAATGACAGCTGGAAGATACAAGTCAGAAGCTGGCTGATCACAAGGCCGACCATGAATCTGAGATCAGTAAACTGAAGGACATGAACAGCAACTCCATAGACCCTAAGAAGTTCACCATGTTGCAAGGCGACCTAGTTGATCACCAACGACAACTGCGTGACCTCCATGATGCTCTGGAAGCAAAAGAAAACGAGAAGAACAGGACATTTAAAGGTATGATCAAGCAATGGTCACTACAAAGCAACTTCAGTATGGTAGAACAATTCAGGTTATCAATGATCAGTCTGTTAAATTGTTACATATTCCTGTATAACTAATCATGGTTTTTAATTGTAGTTCACTGGAGGCTTGCTAAAATTTGTTTAACTCATTTTGTAAAATCTCATACATGAAAGGAAACTTGGTAAAGGCCCACTTTATATGAATTAACATAAAACAATACACTTTGTTCCACAGTTAAAGAGGAGGAGATCAACAAAATCATGGAAAGTTTGGAGGAGGACAAAGTTAACCTCAGACGCAAACTCCGTCTTACTCAGGAGATGTTAGACGAACAGCTGGAGAAAATAAAATCTCACGTAAGCATTGAAAATATATTTCCTAATCAGATAGCACCAAATCCCATATACCTGAACCAATGCGGACAATAAGTACATGACACTTAATTTGTTGATGCATATATTACTGTCGATACCAACATTCAAGGTCAGGATCATAATCAGGGGTCAATGAAGTTTAATATTTTCCTTGAACTTATTTTTTTAATGTTTGCAGATATAATTTAACTCATTAACCCCCAAAGACACATTTAAATGCCTCCAATTTAAAGGTTGGAATAGTTAATTATGAAATTTCAGGGGTGAATGAGTTTAAGGAAAGTTCATAGATGTAAGAAGTCTTTAATTAAAGAGTTATTAAAGAAGCTGACTTAAATGATAATTTTGTTTTCATTGTTTAAGTAATAGCTTTATCAGCAATATAATCAATTGTATAAAGCCTGATAGAAAGTAGGTATCAAAGATGACCACATTTGTTATCAGATCTAAATGGTTAAATGGTTGGCTGTGTTGCCATAATGGGGCTCCATAAGGGACAAAAAAGGGGAAGTTTCATACCATATTTCTAAAGAAAAAAATCGTTTTTCTTTTTCTTTATTCTTAAGGTCTAGACATTAAAATGCAATTATTCAGTTCAAACACTTTGGACTCCAAAAAGTGCAAAAAAGGGACATAAATAATTATAGTGATATATAGAAAATGTCATAAATAGTAATTTTTTGGGGATGTTTATAGAATAATTACGGTTGCAAATGACTTAAATAATTTTGAGAATTTTCATCCTATAGTCTCATTCACTACGTCGAAAGCTCTGATATCTGTTTAGGCCTTATGGGCTTCCTGTTTTATATAAATTTGTATTTTGATAGCAGTAATATTATGTTATATAAAGTGAGTACTTTACATAATAAATATTATATAAAATCGGTACTCGTGGAGGCATCTAGCCAATTCAATCTCATAGTCATTGGTTTCCTGAAAATATCATCATTGATGTTTTAGTACTCGGACTGTGACAAGAGAAACCTTTTGGTGGTGGACTTATATAAGGAGAACGCGGACATGATGGAGTCGCTCTTTATGATGGAGGAGAAGAAGAAAGATGCAGTATCGCGTTGTTATAAACTAGAAGATCAGTGTAAAACACTCCGGAAGATGCTCAAGAAAGTTGTTCATGTCACAATAACCTGAAACTGGAGGTTCCTCAAGAAGATCTGAAAGATAACTCTGGCCTTAAGTAGCTCCCATGACTCAGAAGGCGGCTCCATCTTGCATTGATCTGGGTCTTAAAGCCTGAAGGATCATACATATATATCCTAAAAACATGTGTCCTGAAACGTCCGAAAGGTCATGTAAACTGAAGGTCATGTGTCCTCAAACGTAGGAAGAGTCATGTATCCTGAAGGTCAGTCCAAAGGTTATGTATCCTACTGAAGGTCATGTGTCCTGAAATGTCAAAACTCGTGTATTCTGAAGGTCAAACATACTACAGGCTGACATATGAGGGAGAGAAAGTACTTCAGCATTGTCTTATTCTCTCAATGGACTGTGCTCATCGCACCCATTATGACTGCAGCAATGTTGAGTCTGTGTTACAGGGTTTAAGCTTGACTGCTGGACTAGCCACCAAAGTTCACATTATAAAACACAATTGGCAGCTGATTCTATTTATTTGTTTGCAAGTAATAAACATGTAAAGTATGTCTTATACTAAGCAGCAGAATGAGCCAGTTCTCCAAAACAAGTGTGTGTTGTTGGAAGTGAAATATGACACTTTATATCAGCAGATATGTTGATGAACCCTGAAGATGTTTGGCAGTAAAGACATTGTAAGTAGGTATACCTTAATTGGTACCAGTTGTAAAACAGGTATATGTGTAGTGATATACCAAAGAGGCCAAATAAACTATGTCATTACATTATGTATATAGTACCTTGTTCTACATATAGCATGAAAGATGCATATTGGGCCAAGCTTTTGTATTTTCTTATGTTTTGATAGAGCATTCATTATACATATATATGCCGAGGCATTGACAAATGGAACTGTGATGTTCCGTGAATGGATAAAGGAACAAAGGGAACAGTGATGTTCCGTGGATGGACCAAGGGACAAAGGGAACAGTGATGTTCCGTGGATGGACCAAGGGACAAAGGGAACAGTGCATGAGGTCCATAAAGGATGTGAATGTGATAAACTTCTAGTACACAAAAATGGACAATATTTTGCAATCATGGCTAGGTCATTATTGAGCATTTTTTACGGAGGCGTTTATAACGCCTGCCGTATTGAGATCACCTATCTGACGTGACGTCAGTAGTTTCTTTCCAGCGGAAGTACGGAATTTGCGACGTCTGGTGGTAACCTCCGGTACTGAAAATGCTAGGGGGACAACTTTTGTAGCACTTCGTTCATAGTATATGTCCTGATAATGTTGTTAACATTTTAGTTTACACTATTTTCAATAACAATAACAATAATGACTTTAAAATCTTTATACAATAACTCCCCTACATTTATTTTTGAACATTTATCAAATTATAAAAAAATACTGTAGATCTACATTTATTTTTGAACATTTATCAAATTATAAAAAAATACTGTTGGAAGGGAGACACCTGTGCATGTGAGATAGTAGTTACGGATGAGGACAAGAAAAACAGTTCTCATAACAGCTTTTTTTTATCAGTAATTTTATTATGTATAATATGAACATGTGTATAACAGAAATTAAATCATTCGATTATCTCCGAAAATTGGACTTCTCTTGTAAACTATGCGCAACAATCTGCTGGCTGTTGTGCGCTTTTTTCTCCATTCTGCCACATTGGATGAGTGATACTTGTATTTATTAACAAGTGTTTGGGCCAGAGTGGGAATAAGACTGGATATCTGACTAACGCTTCAGCCTTCAGTACTTCCAGTACTTTGATTCATCTACAAACTCATAAATAATTGGAATTGACGGATTGTCTCAACAAATCAGATGACAAGATTTTCATTTGATTTCATTATTAAAGTATTTGGCTTGTATTTACACAATATCCTGTTGTGATATTGATTGTTGTTGTAATGGACATACTGTTTATATATATAGAATATTACATTAGGAAATAACTTATGAACATGTGCTGATCAATGATGATACACAATGTTCTTGTGAGTCTCAAGTCTTAGGTCTAATTAATGTTATACTGGGGAATTAATTTACAGGAAGAGATGTATATATCATGATCCGCCATATCATGAGTTGTTATTTATTTATATTTTTAAATAAATTATTAAAAAAAGGATTATACAATAGATTGGGAGCGATAAGAGAAATAAATATATACATGAATGTATGATGCAAGTTATACACTCAATGAGTCAGATGACCAGAGTAGCCCTAACCAATCAATACAGTTCTGGTAATCTACTGTTGGCTGGAATCCTGCTGCATCAAGTCACACTGCGTCAAGTACGGTATGTATGTATTTGGTTATGCCTAATATACATACAGCTACTGCAGCATTTTTATTGAATTGGGGTGGCGAGAAAGACTTTAAGGGCTGTGATACTGATATTGAGGGGAAATATATATCGACCGCAATGTTTTTTTGGTTTTCTTCAAACTCTTCTTTGCAGAAAGGCTATATACAAATGCAGTACACATGTATGCATTGAGTCAGAGGAGGAAATAAAGTGCAAACGGAAGTTGCATGGATCTATATTGAGCCAGACGTTTGCTATGACTCACGAGATGTTTCGTATGTATCTGAATATATGTACATATAATGTGCGTGATCCCTGACTGAAAGAGGATGAGAGGTATGTTTACAATCTATAGATATTCAACCTTATAAGCTCTGTTCCTTTTTCATGTCCGAGTCTCCTAGCATGCCTTTCCTTCATAATTTGTCAACTAACTTAAGAATAATGTTTTGTATGGCATATTTTCTTGTTTTTAAAAAGTAGACGAATCACTCTTGTTTTACTATATTGCTTAAAGCATTACGGGGCCTTATTATAATGTAGAATACAGTTACTGTATACTGTGAACCATATGATTGTTTACAAGAGATATTTATTTTACCTATTTATTGAAAGCAATATCTGTGATTCTAAGCTGAACCTGGTCAATCCAGACATGTTTGCATGTTAATGCTAAAATTTGTCAGCGTACATACATACCGGTTCACATAGTTTACTTTGTGATATTATTTTTACAAATCTTTGTCCTGATGCCAATAACATGAATCATTCCCCACAGGTTTACATATACACTGTAGATATTGCCTCAGTACCATTATAGATTTTATCTGTTGTGAATCATGTCATACAAATATGTATCAGTGTCTAAAATTGACGCATGTAAAGCAATTGTACATAAGTACTGGTGCTGCTCGGTAAAATGCATTATTATCATTCTGAGGTCACATGACCAGAACCATACTCAATGGATAAATATCCATCATCAGATACGATGATGGTTCCCCAGGGGCATCATCACAATGTGATGTATAAGTCTTTGCAAAGAAAAAAATTGTGAAGACAACTTGGGAGATGAGAGTATTGTAAATCATTAAAATATGATTTTGATTATTGATAATCCAATAAATGAGATATACAAATATCTATTTTACTTTGTGTTCTCTCTCTCAAGTATTCTACTTTGAGTTAACTAGAATGAAAGCTTAAGATTAACTGTTACATCTGTACTCAACATTGTCTTACTTGCAATTTTGATTCCTCACAATAGTACACATGTAATGCATTTGACAAGTTTTAAAATTGGAACCAGAAACATACCGTAGGCCACGATACATTTTAAAGTGACTTGATATTGAATACAAAAATGAACACAGTCTTGTGATATAATTATGATGTTTTATAATTGTAATTGTGTTTTGCAAGGCATTTTGAAGTTTCATACCAAAATGGATCAGGTAATATGTGTTGAATGTAATGAGTTAAAAATTATCAGCATGTCTGGCAACTGAACAAAAAGGAATTCATCAGAAGTCTTCAAAACAGACAACAACAGAAACTTAAGAATGTTACAAAACAAACTAAATACAACAAAAAGAACCTAGGAGACATCAAAATAAAAACAAAAATAAACCAACAACACAAGGCACAGAAACAACAGGAACAGATGCAAGGGCTGTACTGAGATCAGAAGATGTCAAACAAAACCAAACAACAGAATCTTAGGAGACATCAAATAACAGGAGCTAACAAGACATCAAACAAAAGCAAACATCAGTTGCCGAAAAGAAATAAAACATAGTCAAACAACAGGAACTAAGGAGACATCGAGCAGAAGCAAACAACAGTTGCTGAAAAAAAATCAGACGAGAGAAAACAGCGGATGCTGAAAAAACATCAAACAAAAGCAAACAATAATTTCTGAAAAAATTAAATGTGATCAAACGACAGGAGTTAAGGAGACATCAAACAAATGCAAACAATAGTTGTCAAAAAGAAATGAAACAAGCAAACATCAGGAACTAAGGAGACATCGAGCAGAAGTAAACAAAAGTTGCCTAGGAGAGCTCATGCAACAGAAACTAAAGAGACATCGAGCAGAGGCAAACAACAGTTGTCAAAAAGAAATGAAACAAGCAAACAGCAGGAACTAAGGAGGCATCGAGCAGAAGTAAACAAAAGTTGCCGAGAAAAGTTCAAACATCAGGAACTAAGGAGACACCAAGCAGAAGTAAACAACAGTTGCCTAGAAGAGCTCAAACAACAGGAACTAATTACATCGAGCTGAAGCAACCAACAGTTGCCGAGAAGAGCTCAAGCAACCGGAACTAAGGAGAAATCAAGCAGAAGCAAAAAACAGTTGCGGAGAAGAGCTCAAACAAAGCAAACAACAAGAACTAAGAAATCATCAAACAAAGGCAAACGTTGGAACTTAGGAAACAATTTGAAAAACCAGAGTTTACTAAAGTTTATTCACATTCAGGGTGGTGTTAGTCTATCAGGTCCTTAACTCTACAGAGAATAAGCAGCTTGTAATTCAACATCAAAACCTAACCATGCAGTCTATTTCTTGACCCTGACCGATTAGCATGATAAATACATTGTTTGCAGATCAAGCAGGTAATATCTTGATCCTCGTCTGCAAACACCTATGTTTAGATTTCCAGCTTGCAAACAAAAATAGTTGGCATGCTTGTTAACCAGGGAAACCCTTTTCATGTATTTTTCATTTTTTGCAAGATGAAATAGGTAAACATGCCTCCACATTTCATTTTTTAGCCCGCCATCATCAAATGGCTGGTTATTAAAATCGCCCGTCGGTCATTAAACAATTAAGGTAATAGCTATTTCTCAGAAAGTATTGGAGTGATACTTCTAAAACTCCACATGACGGTTTCCCTAGTTATACAATTTTGGGACTGATAGGAAAACTGTCGGCCATCTTGGGCGCCATCTTGAAGTTTTGGTGTTAAAGATTATCAGCGTTATTTCTCAAAAATTGCGGTAGGGATCTTTCTCTAATTTGATGCGTAGATTTCCTTTGGTCTGTAGTTGTGTTTACTTTTGAGACTGATCGGAGAAGCAAAATGGTCAACAGGCGGCCATCTTGGATTTTGACAGTGAATGTTTATTATCGTTATTTCTCAAGAAGTGCTTGAGGGATCTTTCTGAAATTTGATATGTAGGTTTCCCTTGGTCTCTTGTTGTGCATGTTTTATTTCGAGAGTGATCATAAAACACAAGATGGCCGCAGGAAAAACTTCACAAATCTTTCTCATATTGCAATGATCGGTCTATTTCTTCCACATTAAGTACTGTATTAGTAAGTATGTGAAGCGACAAACTCACTTGGAAGGCTGTCTTTTAGGTGCATTTACTGTTTTCATTACTCGATCAAACATATAAGAGAGAAAAAGAGAAAAGATTGAACTAATATAGAACTAATGAAGATGGTACAATGTTGGGCGCCAAGACCCCTCTGGTTCCGAATACCGGTTTATGATAGGTACATACAGACCTGCCTTGTTTGTATTGGATTCCGAAACATTACACGAGTCAATCCTGATTCAAACGGCCTATTTTTGTTCCGTAACAAAGCGAAGCAAAATAACTATTTGACGCATTTCCGGTAATCTGCCTATATTCGCTAGATATTGGTTGTTTACCAATTATAAACTCCCACCCGGCACTTGAGCGATAAGAGTCGGATCCGGTTCTGAATTTGTGTTCGGAATTTCGCTTTGAATTGTCAACGTTGTTTAATGCAAAAAGGGTGTGTTCTCGTTTCCCCCACATTTTGGAGAACAACGAAAAGTATTGATATAGGAAGACATTGGCAAACCAAGTATAGTCAGTTTCACACTAACCCCACAGGTCATACAGATAAGTTCACTTACCTGTAGGATTCGTAGCTTTTTTGTGCATGTGATATATCAAATCTCAAGTATTATTGGGGTAAATAAATAAAATTATTAGCTAATTTTTGGGGTATGAAATAAATATAATAAGAAATAGACAAATCGATCCCATGCCTGTAATGGAGCAAGCCCGGTGTGAATCACA